TTCAAACCCATCTCAATTTTGTTTCAAGTGTCTCTAGCTTGACTTGAGATAACTAAAATGTATTTTGACACCTGCATAGGAGCTCACCCAGCAACAGAAAGACATCCGAGTGAATGTCCAGATCTAAAAATCACGTTGATTAATAGAACTTTTTATAAAACTGGTTAAGCATGTACTCCAGTAGAATAAATCATAAACGTGGGGGCAGCTGCCCAAATTAGTCAAGTCAAGTCGAATTTATTTATAAAGCACATTTAAAACGGCTGCTGTTACCGAAGTACTTAACAATAAGATCAAGGCAGTAAATTAAAAAAAAGAATAATAACAAGATGCAATTAAAAGCATCAAAATAAAAAAACATACTAACACAAAAACAATGAGAAACAGTGAAATACTAAATCAAATCACACTGTCAGTGAAAACAGGTGTGTTTTTAGGGAGAGATTTAAAAGCAGGGAGTGAAGTGGCCTGTCTAATGTTGAGGGGCAGATTGTTCCAAAGTTTAGGGCTCATGACTGAAAAAGCCCGATCTCCTCGGAGCTTCAGCCTGTTTTATGGTACAAGCAAAAGCAGCTGGTCAGATGATCCCAAAGCCTGAAAAGTAGCATAAGGATGGAAAAGGTCGGAGAGGTATGAGAGCGCAAGGCCGTTAATACACTTAAAGGTCAACAGGAGAATTTTAAAATCAATTCTTACATGTACAGGGAGCCAGTGAAGGGAGGACAAAACTGGTGACGTGCTCGAACCTACAAGTTCCAGTTAAGAGCCGAGCACAGCATTTTGGACGAGCTGGAGACGTGAAAGGCGCACCTAAGTACCAAGCTGAAATGAGATGGACAATAAAATAATGTGGACGATCAAGAAAACTGATTCGCAAACAGTACACACAAAAATAAGCTGGGATTTTCAAAAATTGGCCTTACAGATCATGGTACCTCACCTTACTGGTCAAAAACGCTCAGAATTCAGTACAAAATTTGCTTATTTTACTCAAAATTTTCAGTTGCATCAAGTCTCCTATTCTCTTATTGTGGCTATTTTAAAGTGTCATCACATTATACATATTCTACTTCAGCTCCCATCTATCTGCAAATCATGAGCACACAGTAACAGCGTTCACACCCTAAAAATACAAACAGCAGATTCCTTAAAACCAGGTTGTTGTTCTCACAGACTGACAGTGTTGAGTCAGCATATTTCAAAGCTTCTTCTGAACTGTCGGCATCAATCTTCATCTCTGTCAGAGATACTTCTCTGTTCAATACGCCTCTCGGTCTCTGTTCAGCCTGATGGGAAATGCCTCAAGAGTAACCTCTGTACTCTGACTGACCATTTTCCCCAATCCATTTACTCATACCTCTTTCCATTTCAAGCCATATCTTCTCTCATCTCTACAGCTTTCATGCAGCTGCTGGTAAGTTCTGAGAGTGCTGACTTACAGGTATAAAGATTTCCCGACCTTTGCTGCACCTGCAGAGAGGCTTTAATAATACTCCTGACTTCCACCTGGTTGGACTCTCACACATTTATTAACTCTTCCTGCCTGTGCAAATTCCCTGTTAGCTTTGTATATACATCTTGGCATCCTCAGCTGATTAAGTAGTTAAATTGTTTGACGTTAAATTAGTTTTGTGAAGTCTGTGAAGAAGGACCGCATTCCTCTCATGTTGTGCCCTGGATTTAAATGTATATTAAACAGGAGGATTCTGTTTGACAAAAGTCAAACCATAGGTTTGAAAGGCTGGACAGAAGCCGCAGTATGATTGACCTTGCGACTTTTAAGTCATTGAGTGATGGAGGGGAGGGATGAAAAATGGCTAAATGGAAAGAAGTGAACTGGTTGGTCCATAATATGAGTGCAGGACAATTAAAAGGGATGCCTCCATGAATGATGCATAACTTTCTCCTTTCTTAATAGTCTTCCGGGCATTTTAATTATGCAGGTAAACATACACAGGCTGCGTAAGTGAGAGATGAAATGGAATGGAGAGAGGGAGTGTGAGCAAGTGAAAAGGAAGTTGGTGAGTCGATTAATGTATTAAAATAGACCGGACTATGTAGAATAAGAAGTGTGAGGACAAGAGAATTGTGTTTCCAGCATTTGAGTCTGTGTGCGTAGCTGATAAGGTTTAGAATGGAGAGGAGGATAAGCTGAGCCATACGAATGAAGAATAAAATGTGAGAGACTCAGAAGAAAGTTGTGTAAACTGAAAGTTGACTGTAGTTTTTAAATATCACTACTGTCATCCCTGCTGCTGTCAGCATGTTTGCACTTCACCACCTTGCCCTCTGTCTAATAAAAATAAATGGCCTTTCATGCTCCTGCTAAAGAGCAGCCTCTCCTGGCCTTCCAGTCACCTTCTGTCAGCTGCCAGGGGCGGCAATGATGCACATTTGATTTTTGATTTGAAGTCAAAAGGCATCAGAAGTGGAGTTGGTTTGTGAATGGTTTGTAAAAAGCAACACTGTGCCATGCGGTCCAGAGCTTTTTGGCATCTATGTGTGTCGCAGTTTGTGACAGCCGCAGTGGGTGTGTTGCTTTGTGTTGGGTTTGTCTTCTTTCTCACATGTGCTTCTTGACAGCAGCAGGGCATGTGTCTTCTGTGGGTAATAAAGCCATTAATCACATTCGCCGTTTGCCACAAACATGCCACGCTGCACTTGCTGCAAGATGTGTCACTCTGTATATCCAACGATGAAACCACAGATGCAGATCACTGGAGCGGAACAGGAAATGGAAATGAAATATTTTCAATAAACGTAACATTTTTGGTTGTTTGATGCCTTTAATATTTTGGCAATGCACAGGACAATGCTGAACTTTAAATTTAGCCCAAATTCAAGTGTTTTTTGGATGTGTCTATGAACTGTCATCCATTAATCATAAAACTCATTGTTTGATGCCCTGAGTTTAAGGTTTCTGTACATGAGTTTTAGATTGGTCTGTCAACAAAAAGCCAGTTTTAAGACATCGCTGTCCTGACACACTGACATTACTGCATTTTTTCTTCATTTTTTTTTCCTTTTTGTATAATTATTGTTCTTCATTTGATCCTTCACAGTAGAACAAAGGGCATTATGCATAAAGGAAAGCTGTTACTATGAAACAAAACTTGGCATTTTTTCCATATACATTTTTATACACTGTTGTGATAAACTTGGTATTATTCAAAACAAGTGTCACTGAACAAACAACTATAAAACAAAGTTTCAATCCTAATGTCTCATTATCATATCTCATTATCATATCATACTTTCAAACACCTGGCATACTCTCAAACACCTGGTATATTCTCAAACACCTGGCATATGCTCAAACACCTGGTATACACTCAAACACCAGGCATACTCTCAAACACCTGGTATATGCTCAAACACCTGGCATACTCTCAAACACCTGGCATACGCTCAAACACCTGGCATACGCTCAAACACCTGGCATATGCTCAATCACCTGGCATATGCTCAAACACCTGGTATATGCTCAAACACCTGGCATATGCTCA